TTGGGTTTAGGCTATGGCTCCAAGAGACTTTTTTGTGCGTCTGGACAAGATACACGTACCACAGAAAATTCGTGCACGTAGGTGAAACGTGCGGCGGGGGCTGCTTCGTTAAAAGTCACTTCCTGTTGCCAGCAGGTGGCGCTATGACTGTGGGTGAATATCAGCATGTACATGTGTTCAGGGCGGGACTCTCATCCTACATGTACAGTTTGGTCCAGATGTGAGCATGTACACTGAAGCTACGACAACTTCCGTGTCATGGCGAAGAGTTGATCTTTGACGCCACGCTACGGACACGCCCATTGACGAAAACGCGCAAATAGCACAACTTTTCATCGTCAATGCCTTTAGAAGGCACAGCAGAAATTTGAGGTCGGTCGACTAAATCCCTAGGAGGAGTTCGTTAAAGTACGAAGTGTGTAAATCATCCAAAAATGGCCGTAAAATTCAAAATGGCCGACTTCCTGTTGACTTTAGGCTATGGGTTCTTGAGGCTTTTTTGTGCGTCTTGATATGATACATGTCCCCAGAAAATTTCGTACATGTAGGTTGAACGTGAACGAGGGGCTAATTTTTTCCAATTTTCTAGGTGGCGCTAGCGAGTCATTTTGCACGCCCATGTGCGAAACTTGTAGAATACGAAATTTTTCACCGGTTCTGACATGTTTGCAAATTTTGGTGAGTTTTCGAGAATGTTTAGGCCATGTCATTTGGGCCTACTTTGCAGAAAAAAGAAAAAAATAAAATAAAAAAAAATAATAAATAATTAAAGCTGCAAGCAGCGTTGGGCGGGCCCTCGCACTAGTAGCGCGTCCGCGTGAGCCGGCCGAGTTGCATATTCTGGAGCTCTGCCGGTGCGGCTGTGAATTTCCTACGCGGTTGACGCCGCATGAAGGTGCTATATGTCACTTCCTGTGTCCCCTATGTGGAGCTACATAGCACTTGCCGCTATGAATATAAATCGGTATTGACGTGTAGATGTCTGCGGGGTGGGAGAGTTATCAAGCACGTAAAGTTTGTTTCAGATGTGAGCATGTACACTGAACAATAATGTACCCAAACAATAAAATAAATTCCTTTTATATTTCCCTGCCTTGTTGTTTATGTGTACATACAGAGGAAGAATGTGAGAACAGCACACATTTCATCGTTACTGTGTGTTAGAGCATGGGAGAACAGTGGATACTTTTAATACAGCCCACACCCCTAATACTGTGTAACTATAACAAGTAGAGAACAGAAGAAAAAGATGTTCTTTCTTTACAACTGTCTGCATAGCTTATTCATATTGTGTAATGAATGAAAATAAATAGGCCTACTAGGCTCCTCTCTACTTTGACATTTAAGATTAGCTTGTTTGATCCACCTTCATACACATGTGACATTACTGTACAACTTGAGAAAGGTGAGTTGTTTTCTGCTCCAGCCTGCCTAAAAGAAAAGCGTTTTTGGGATTAAATGGACTTTATTAGCTGCTGCAGTGCAGGATGAACTCAGAATAGACCCATTTCTCACCTTATTATTCTAAATCATGCAACGAAGAAGAAGAAATGCATAAGAAATCCTGGGACAAAATCTGTCCACAAATACTGTACAGCATGTAGTCTGATGAACAAGACTTGTGTTATAGCTGACTTGGGCAGTGAAATGTTTTTTTAATTCATGTGGTCATAGTTGTCCACAACTCAAATCAGAATATAAGAAGAAATGTTTTATACCACCTCAAGAAGGCTTCCTATCAGAAAGGTAGGAAGGTATTTCAAATGTACAACTGCAGTACTTAAATCTAAGTAAAGTAATTTCCCTGACATTTTTGTGTTACTTTACTTTTAATAGACCCATGTAAGAGGTTTTATACTTCCTGTGAGTATAATCCAATCAATCTTATTTTCATACTGTATATCCGTTGTGTAATTTGATAAATTGTGTTGTATGTCGTGCTCGCATCTCAGAGAAGACTCTGACTGCAACATGCGTCTTTGTAAAGAGAGAAACAGACAGAAAAAGTCTCTAACTCTGCCTGTCAGCTCGCTCTGCTCCGTTAAAACTGAATTTACCATACAGAATTGAATACGAGTGCACTCCAGATTTAGCTGCAGCCAGCTGACCGTGTGCTTCTCCCTATACCGCAGTTCTGTGTCCATGCATGCAGCAAACTGAAAGCACTGTCTGTCGGAGCTCTACGTGAAAAGAGAAGGAAGACATTGCTGGTAGTATTGTCTTCAGAGTTGTTAAACACCTCAGCGCACTGAAGGAAGCCATCTGACTGTGTGAGGGGCAAGATCGTTGATGTCTGCAGGCAGAGTAGGAGCTCTCCTGTCTGACTGGTCCACCAATAGCAGAGAAGATGACCCCTTGAGACACAGCCCCTCCTCATTTGCATAATGAGGCAGAAATGCATACAAAAATTTAAGACAGGCAGAAATAAATACCATGGGTGAAAATAAATAAGGTAAATAAATACAAAGGAAGAATAAAACAGACAAAAATATTAAAACACACACATAAATAAATACATTAAAAAAATTAGTAATAAATAAAGTTGAATAAACAAATAAGGTAATTATAACAAAGGTGAATAAGTAAAGGCACTAATTAAAATATATACATTTATGTCTCCTTGTATAATTTAATTACTACCTACATTTATTTATTTACTTATTTTTTTGTGTATTTAATTGGATGCTTATTTATTTATTGAGCATTTATTTATTTCTGTATTTATTTCTGACTGTGTCAGGATCGGTCCTCCATAGCGGGGTGGGAGAGTTATCAAGCACGTAAAGTTTGGTTCAGATGTGAGCATGTACACTGAAGTTACAACAACTTCCTGTGTCATGGCGAAGACTTGATCTCTGACGCCACGCCACGGACACACCCATTGACGAAAACTCGCAAATAGCACAACTTTTCATCTTCAATGCCTTTAGAAGGCACAGCACAAATTTGAAGTCGGTCGGACTAAATCCCTAGGAGGAGTTCGTTAAAGTACGAAGTGTGTAAATCATCCAAAATTTGACGTAAAATTCAAAATGGCCGACTTCCTGTTGATTTTAGGGCATCGCTCCAAGAGGCTTTTTTGTGCGTCTGGACAAGATACACGTACCACAGAAAATTCGTGCACGTAGGTAAAACGTGCGGCGGGGGCTGCTTCGTTAAAAGTCACTTCCTGTTGCCAGCAGGTGGCGCTATGACTGTCTGTGAATGTCAGCATGTACATGTGTTCAGGGCGGGACTCTCATCCTACATGTACAGTTTGGTCCAGATGTGAGCATGTACACTGAAGTTACGACAACTTCCGTGTCATGGCGAAGAGCTGATCTTTGACGCCACGCCACGGACACGCCCATTGACGAAAACTTGCAAATAGCACAACTTTTCATCTTCAATGCCTTTAGAAGGCACAGCACAAATTTGAGGTCGGTCGGACTAAATCCCTAGGAGGAGTTCGTTAAAGTACGAAGTGTGTAAATCATCCAAAATTTGACGTAAAATTCAAAATGGCCGACTTCCTGTTGATTTTAGGCTATGGCTCCAAGAGGCTTTTTTGTGCGTCTGGACAAGATACACGTACCACAGAAAATTCGTGCACGTAGGTGAAACGTGCGGCGGGGGCTGCTTCGTTAAAAGTCACTTCTGTTGCCAGCAGGTGGCGCTATGACTGTGGGTGAATGTCAGCATGTACATGTGTTCAGGGCGGGACTCTCATCCTACATGTACAGTTTGGTCCAGATGTGAGCATGTACACTGAAGTTACGACAACTTCCGTGTCATGGCGAAGAGCTGATCTTTGACGCCACGCCACGGACACGCCCATTGACGAAAACTTGCAAATAGCACAACTTTTCATCTTCAATGCCTTTAGAAGGCACAGCACAAATTTGAGGTCGGTCGGACTAAATCCCTAGGAGGAGTTCGTTAAAGTACGAAGTGTGTAAATCATCCAAAATTTGACGTAAAATTCAAAATGGCCGACTTCCTGTTGATTTTAGGCTATGGCTCCAAGAGGCTTTTTTGTGCGTCTGGACAAGATACACGTACCACAGAAAATTCGTGCACGTAGGTGAAACGTGCGGCGGGGGCTGCTTCGTTAAAGGTCACTTTCTGTTGCCAGCAGGTGGCGCTATGACTGTGGGTGAATGTCGGCATGTACATGTGTTCAGGGCGGGACTCTCATCCTACATGTACAGTTTGGTCCAGATGTGAGCATGTACACTGAAGTTACAACAACTTCCTGTTTCATTGCGAATCATCGACGCCACGGACACGCCCATTGACGAAAACGCGCAAATAGCACAACTTTTCATCGTCAATGCCTTTAGAAGGCACAGCAGAAATTTGACGTCGATCCGACTAAATCCCTAGGAGGAGTTCGTTAAAGTACGAAGTGTGTAAATCATCCAAAAATGGCCATAAAATTCAAAATGGCCGACTTCCTGTTGACTTTAGGCTATGGGTTCTTGAGGCTTTTTTGTGCGTCTTGATACGATACATGTCCCCAGAAAATTTCGTACATGTAGGTTGAACGTGAACGAGGGGCTAATCATTTCCAATTTTCAAGGTGGCGCTAGCGAGTCATTTTGCCACGCCCATGTGCGAAACTTGTAGAATACGAAATTTTTCACCGGTTCTGACATGTTTGCAAATTTTGGTGAGTTTTCGAGTATGTTTAGGCCATGTCATTTGGGCCTACTTTGCAGAAAAAAAAAAAAAAAAAAAAAAAAAAATAATCCGAGCAGATTCAATAGGGACCTCGCACGGTCGTGCTCGGGCCCTAAATAATCCGAGCAAATTCAATAGGGACCTCACACGGTCGTGCTCGGGCCCTAAATATAGAAGAAACAATGTATATTGTCCAAAAAAGTCCCAAATAGCCGCCTATCCCGTTAACTGACCAGCTGTTGGAACACATTTTGACTGATAAACGCAGGTATCCTTTAAACGCCTGGTCTGGTTTTATAGAAGTTCTTTGGATGTATAAAACCTCTTAAACCCTGCAGGGTCCTTTGAGAGTGACCGGTCGAATCATCGCTTCATTGATTTTAAAGGAAGACATCCCTCTGCTGCAAAGAGGTCAGCAGTTAAGAAATTATGATTGATTCATATTTTTTACAAATAGTGAAATACTGAAATACATAACCTACCCAAGGTTTAAGAAAGGTTGTGTTTTCAGTGGTGGAAAACTCAGTTCTGCTGGATGGCAGCACAACACAGCCAGTAAACTGTCAAATATCTCCACATAGTTTCACAGTGTTCTGGGTGAAGCTGATTATATCCTGTTTTTATGTGTTTCTATCAGGAGGAAGCTGGAAAAACCAGACCCCAGCGTTGTGTCCATGAGGAGTGACTCATCTATGCGTCATCCTATAACCTTCAAAGACAGATGTCACTCTGTTGATCGAAGGTGAGGATGTGTTGTATCAGACTCCCTGTTTTTAAATCTTTACTGACGAAAAAGTGCCTCTGTTTCCATTTAAGTCTGTATAGTATTGAAAAATAAAATTTATGATTGTAAAAGAAAAATCAGGTACAAGATGGGACAAGATTTTTTACTTACTTATTCACAGTGGGAGCTGTCCAGTACAACCAGTCTGATCCAACCAGACAATGAGCAGTTCCGCTGGAGGGGCTTTGCCCAGCTGTTCTTTAGCAGTGTACACTGAGGGAGAGTCAAGTTTTAATCACTCACATTTCTGTTTTGCTGGCAGTTAAGTAGATGGGCTTGTGATATTCAAGCAAGCCTCTAACCTGAACTAAGATAAGTCTTCTCCAGTACTGACATGTGAAAGGCAAATCCAAGATTCAGCAACCTGCCCCTGAAGAGATATTTAGAAGATAGAGATGGGGTCAAAGCTACAGTGCTGCCAGTAGTAATCAGTAGTGATGGTGAGATGAAGCATTGAAGCTTTCCATCCAATTGGTTCACTCATGGGCGAAGCTTCACAATGCTTCATTTGCTCTACTGTGCCATCAAGTGGACAATAAATGTAAAACAGGCAGTGATTATAGTGACACCAGGGCTTGGTGTGTGAAGCTCTGAACTCAATAATTTAACAGACATCTACACACCAATACCGATTATATTCATAGCGGCAAGTGCTATGGAGCTCCACATAGGGGACACAGGAAGTGACATATAACACCTTCATGCGGCGTCGGAACCGCGTAGGAAATTCACAGCCGCACCGGCAGAGCTCCAGAATATGCAACTCGGCCGGCTCACACCCGGACGCGCTACAAGTGCGAGGGCCCGCCCAACGCTGCTTGCAGCTTTAATTTGTGTTTGAGATTGTTTGGTTTAAGCGTGCAGAAAACCCAAAGTGGAATTTTCAGTTGGATTGTGCTTTACTTTGTGTTTGTGTATGAAATCTTAAATACACCAAAATTTTGTTTTGTGCTAAGCTTTTGAGTTTGTGGTGTTTCTTTCTTTTATGGTAATTCAGTGGGAGGGTTCACATTCTTTGAAATATGTCCTTTGTGACATTTGATATGAAAACAGTTGACCAGTATCTTACTGCCAGGGGAGAGACCTGGCTGGTACCCCGAATAGTAATAATTAAAACTGTGCACTCAAACTGTCACAAGATGAAGAAAAGTCTGTTTTTCCCCACCAGTAGCTGAAGTTGGTTGCACAGTGAGCGCAAATATTGCCAGTAGTGGCGTGCGGAGACCCTGCCGGTGGAAACGCACGAGCAACAAGCTCTTTTTCCTCTCCTACAGCGTTTCACGGAACCGAACAACAGCAAGTGAGCCCTTCACCAAAATATCTAATAAGTCCACTGATGACGCAAGAAAAGTGGGAAATAAATCCGCTGGAGTTGTTCCCTGATTTTCATGAGCTCTTCTCTTTACTCATTTAGCTGACGCTTTTATCCAAAGCGACTTACAATTGCTATAGATGTCAGAGGTCGCACACCTCTGGAGCAACGAGGGGTTATGTCTTGCACAGGGACACATTGGTGGATGTGTCACAGTGGGGAGTTGACCCCCAGTCTCTCACACCAAAGGCATGTGTGTTATCCACTGCACCAACACCACCCTGTTAACACACAATAACAAAACAAAACAGAGCGCACCTAACGCAGCGCCATCTTGGTATTATTGAAATCATTGACCAGATAATTAATGTTAGAAAGTTGAATTGGCCTATTATAAAGTCAAAGATGGGTGAGAAGTTTAACTCAGCCTGGATATGGATAGCCTCCACTACGGCTATCTGATTCAACATTTTAACTCAGACATTGTGTCTGTCTGTGTGGACAGACATAATGTGAGCTAACTCTTCATGATTCCTCCACAGAGTCCACCAGGAGAGCTCAGAGGTTCCCAGTGGTCAGTCTGCCCAGCAGCATCAAACACACCTGGACTCCATATTTATGGTCTGTACATGTACAACAACTACTTTTCCATCTATTCTGTTCACAATAATCTCCACGCTGCACTTTTTAGACCAGTGGATTGTCAGTCTGTCCAACATGGATCTGATGTTTGGTTCCATGATTTGACTTTGATTGTGTCCTTCATATAATATTCTGTTCCAGCTGCTGGAGGAGAACATTGTCACTTTTGTGAAGAACGAGCTGAAGAAGATCCAGAAGGGTCTGATTTCAGATTATCCAGAATGCTTAGAGAGTCAGAGGGAGGATGAGGAGGTGTTGGACGGTGAGGAGGAAGAGCAGAGGAGGAGCAGCAGAGAGGCATTTCTGAAGATCACACTTCACTTCCTGAGGGGAATGAAGCAGGAGGAGCTGGCTGAGCTTCTGGAGAGCGGTAAGAGGATTTCTCTAAAGATTTAAGCTGCTGGATAAACGGGACATTTACTGATGGCTCAGCAGATGGAGGGAAACATGGTTAGATAAGGAAATGAAACTGTCACATGGACTTTATCAATCACTGATTGATCCGTTTTGTTGTGTCTTCATTCAGGAAGTCATTCTGCAGTTTGTCAGCGTAAACTCAAGTCTAACATGAAGAAGAAGTTCCAGTGTGTGTTTGAGGGGATTGCTAAAGCAGGAAACCCAACCCTTCTGAACCAGATCTACACAGAGCTCTACATCACAGAGGGAGGGACTGCAGAGGTCAATGATGAACATGAGGTCAGACAGATTGAAACATCATCCAGGAAACCAGACAGACCAGAAACAACCATCAGACAAGAAGACATCTTTAAAGCATCACCTGGAAGAGATGAACCAATCAGAACAGTGATGACAAAGGGAGTGGCTGGCATTGGGAAAACAGTCTTAACGCAGAAGTTCACTCTGGACTGGGCTGAAGACAAAGCCAACCAGGACATACAGTTCATATTTCCATTCACTTTCAGAGAGCTGAATGTGCTGAAAGAGAAAAAGTACAGCTTGGTGGAACTTGTTCATCACTTCTTTCCTGAAACCAAAGAAGCAGGAATCTGCAGCTTTGAAGAGTTCCAAGTTGTGTTCATCTTTGACGGTCTGGATGAGTGTCGACTTCCTCTGGACTTCCACAACAATGATGTCCTGACTGATGTTACAGAGTCCACCTCAGTGGATGTGCTGCTGACAAACCTCATCAGGGGGAACCTGCTTCCCTCTGCTCACCTCTGGATAACCACACGACCTGCAGCAGCCAATCAGATCCCTCCTGAGTATGTTGACATGGTGACAGAGGTCAGAGGGTTCACTGCTCCCCAGAAGGAGGAGTACTTCAGGAAGAGATTCAGAGATGAGGAGCAGGCCAGCAGAATCATCTCCCACATCAAGACATCACGAAGCCTCCACATCATGTGCCACATCCCAGTCTTCTGCTGGATCACTGCTACAGTTCTGGAGGAGGTGTTGAAGACCAGAGAGGGAGGAGAGCTGCCCAAGACCCTGACTGAGATGTACATCCACTTCCTGGTGGTTCAGTCCAAACTGAAGAACGTCAAGTATGATGGAGGAGCTGAGACAGATCCACATTGGAGTCCAGAGAGCAGGAAGATGATTGAGTCTCTGGGAAAACTGGCTTTTGAGGAGCTGCAGAAAGGCAACCTGATCTTCTATGAATCAGACCTGACAGAGTGTGGCATCGATATCAGAGCAGCCTCGGTGTACTCAGGAGTGTTCACACAGATCTTTAAAGAGGAGAGAGGGCTGTACCAGGACAAGGTGTTCTGCTTCGTCCATCTGAGCGTTCAGGAGTTTCTGGCTGCTCTTCATGTCCATCTGACCTTCATCAACTCTGGTGTCAACCTGCTGGCAGAAGAACAATCAACCTCCCAGAAGTCTGAAACAAGAAAAGATGAATCTGCAGTGACAAAACTCTACCAGAGTGCTGTGGACAAGGCCTTAAAGAGTCCAAATGGACACCTGGACTTGTTCCTTCGCTTCCTCCTGGGTCTTTCACTGCAGACCAATCAGAATCTCCTAAGAGGCCTGCTGACACAGACACGAGGTGGCTCAGGAACCAATAAGGTAACACTCGAGTACATCAAGAAGAAGATTAAAGAGACTCCTTCTGCAGAGAAAAGCATCAATCTGTTCCACTGTCTGAATGAACTGAAGGATAGTTCTCTAGTGGATCAGATCCAACAGTCCCTGAGTTCAGGAAGTCTCTCCACAGATGAACTCTCTCCTGCTCAGTGGTCAGCTCTGGTCTTCATCTTACTGTCATCAGAAAAAGATCTGGACGTGTTTGACCTGAAGAAATACTCTGCTTCAGAGGAGGCTCTTCTGAGGCTGCTGCCAGTGGTCAAAGCTTCCAAGAAAGCTCTGTAAGTGGGATTTATTCATCAATAAATGATCTGCGATCTTTCAACTGGAGAAAAAAAAAATATTACTTGTTTCCTTCCTGTTGTCTCTCAGTGAGAAGCTGTGAACATGTGTGGCCTATATTTTGTTCTCAATTAAATTTACATATTGTTCACCACAAAACCTGAACTTTGGCAGAGATGGTGAACCTTATTTATGTTTTGATATGTCATTTTAGTGGTTCCCACTAGGGCTGCAACTAATTTTCTACTAATCTGTTAAATATTTATTCGATTATTCGTCTAGTCACTATTATTTTAGTCTAACCCTAACTAAACCATTCAACGAATTAAATATCTTTCAAGTGAATAACTGATCTCCAACACACAGCCTAACTTGCTAAAGTTACCATTAAGTTAACTTTATTTATTATTCAGAATGAACAGCAATATCAGCGCCACTTAACATGTTTGCTAACACAATTAAAAGAGCATTCTCTTGGCCAACAACTCCCATGAGACCTCAAAACCAAGCATGCAATGAGCTAACCAAAAAAACCCTAACCAAAAAAAATAAGCTCAGCTTCATAAAATTAACGAAGCAAATTCAAAGCAAGTACTGTAACCACAACTGTACACTAACAATGTTATGTCTATTTAGAATAATTAAGCAACAGTCCCCTTTCATAATACTTCTGTGTGTATATATAAAGACAGAATAACAGCGGTACGAACACTGAAATTATCTTAACAGTTGTGGCCTTTCTTCTGTCGTTGTTGCTCTGTTGTTGCTGCTGCAGTGGTCTGTGTGACTGGGACCAGAGGGCTCTGTGGGCGTGATTAGCCGGCAAGCTGGCCCTGCTAACCTCACAGAGCTTCTCAACCCCGAAAACGTTTGAGCACATTTTTGATTCGCCATCAACTTTTGTAAAACTAACAATATTCATACACAGTTGATTTCTTGCCTCAAAACATCTTAAAACTGTATTTAGTGATGAAATAACATACAAAACAAAAAACTTTCTGATGTTAGCCTCTTTCTCCATTGCTTTCCACTTCTCGCATAATTGCTGCTTCTTCTTTTGAGTAGTCTTACAGCCAAGCAGTCATGGCAGACAATGGAAGTGATACTGCCCCTAGCACTTCCTGTAGTGCATTGCAGTTACAAATAATTGCTACCTCTCCTTTCAATAGCATCTCTGTAATGACACGTCAACATCAAGTCGACAAGTTTTTATAATCAATGTCGATTACGTCGACAAAGCGTTGTAGCCCTAGTTGCCACATCTCCAACATGTTTAAAGTAAAACAGCAAAGAAGAGATTATATACAGTGTAATGCATCCCCAAAATCTCAGACTCATCATTTTGTTATTTGTCTTGTTTATTATTTCCTCTCCAGACTGAGTGTCTGTAACCTCTCAGAGAGAAGCTGTGAAGCTCTCTCCTCAGTTCTCAGCTCCAAGTCTTCTAATCTGAGAGAGCTGGACGTGAGTAACAACAACCTGCAGGATTCAGGAGTAAAGCTGTTGTCTGCCGGACTGGAGAGTCCACACTGTACACTGGAAACCCTAAGGTCAGGACTCATTAACCCACTGAGTTGATGACCTTTTAAAATTTACATTGGTAGATAAACAACTTTCCTGTGTCTGCTGATATTATTTGTCAAGGACCTTTAACAAAACTTTCACAGTAGTTTCTAGACTCAGAAAATTACCATGACAATAGTTTTATAATTTTCTGTTGTTCAGTTTTGTTTTTAATTTTTAAATGCCACACAATTTTAAAGATGTGTTCTAAATTTGAATGTGAAACAAAGCACACCACATCTTGTTCTCAAAGGGTTCCTGTGTGTGTTGGTTTGTGTGTTTGCAGGCTCTCAGGCTGTCTGATCACAGACAAAGGTTGTACTTCTCTGGCCTCAGCTCTGAGCTCCAACCCCTCCCATCTGAGAGAGCTGGACCTGAGCTACAATCATCCAGGAGACTCAGGAGTGAAGCTGCTGTCTGCTGGACTGGAAGATCCACACCAGAGACTGGACACGCTCAGGTAAGAAGAGGCCTTCTGCAGCCACTGACAGTCTGATAGAGGAGGTGTTTTTTTTGGTCAATGGTGGATATGAGTGTCATATGAACAGTCTACATGTGTGATGTATGTTTTTTCTTTGTTCAGATCTTTTGTAGGAGGTCCCCAAGGAGAAAATCTCCACAAAACTTTGACAGTTTCTAGACTCAGAAAATTACCATGAATAGTTTTATAATTTTCTGTTGTTCAGTTTTGTTTTTTAATTTTTAAATGCCACACAATTTTACAATTACCAAACATGGTAATTGTCTGTTGGTAATATTTGATGCAATTTGGACAGATCTCTGCATCAAGGTTATTATCGTTAAGAAAGATCGTTAAGAAACTAGATGTGAAAAAACATTGTCATTAACTGAAATAAAAATGAGGCTTTACAAAAAACGATAACTAACTAAAACTGTATTGTAGGTTTGCAAAACTAACTAAAATGAAAGAGTAAATGTCCTTAGTTTTTGTTTATTTATTTATATATTTCATAGGCAAGGCAAGTTTATTTGTATAGCAAATTTCAACCACAAGGCAATTCAACATAAAGCAACAAAGGGAAGTTGAAAAAAACACACATTAAAATATAATTTTTAAAAGAGTGAAATAGAAAATAAAACAGGATAAAATACATTTTAAAGAGTTAAATAGGAAAGGGTAAAACAGGACAGAAAAAGTCAGTGCAGTGTACGATATTAATCTACAGTCTTACATTTGATTTAATTAAAGGCAATGGTAAAAGAAAAGTCTTCAGTCTTGATTTAAAAGAACTGACAGTTTCAGCAGACCTGCAGTTTTCTGGGAGTTTGTTCCTTCTCCTTGTTTAGTGTTGATTCTGGGGACAGAAAGCAGACCTGATCCCAGACGACCTGAGAGGTCTGGATGGTTCATAACAAAGCAGAGGATCAGAAATGTATTTTGGCCCTAAACCATTTAGTGCTTTATAAACTAACAGCAGGATTTTGAAATCAATTCTTTGACATACAGGAAGCCAATGTAAAGACCTCAGAACTGGAGTGATGTGATCCACCTTTTTGGTCTTAGTGAGGACTCGATACTGCTGACGTACTGCGGTAAGCGCGTCGACTCATTTCCGTTTCCGGTGCTTGTGTGTTGGTACCGTGTTGTGCTGCTCTCGCTAAATAACAGTTACATTTGTTAGATTACAGCAGCCAACTGTCCGCTAAACACTTATTCTTTACAGTAATTTTGCCTAAGCACTCACAGTTCTTTCCATCTTTTAGTGACTGCTGTTCAATCTCATAGTTGTTCTAAAGTTTTGGTAGCCAACGCTACAGTACTTTAGCTTAGCCGTTAGCGACTTTAGCTTAGCAGCTAGCGATGGCTTCTCCTTCTCCCCCTCTCTCTCTCCCACTTTCTCTTGCTCGGTGTGTCAGATGTTCAGTTACTCCTCTGCCTCCTTTAGCGGTAATGGTACGTGTAATAAGTGCAGTTTATTCATAGACATGGAGGCGAGGCTCAGTGATTTAGAAGTCCGGCTCCGCACCTTGGTAGATCAGTCTTTAGCTACTGTAGCTAGCCAGTCCCCAGTAGTCGGTGCGGAACGGCCTGAGTTAGCCTGTGTTAGCCGTCCTCCGGCATCCCCTGTGCAGCCAGGAAAGGGGGGGGGGGTTGGGTGACTGTCCGAAGGAGGAATTGTCGTAAGCATTCAAAGTCCACGGGGCACCATCAACCCACTCAGCGACACACCCGCTGAGAAACCAACTCTGATCATTGGCAGCTCCATTTTGAGAAACGTGAAGTTAGCGAAGCCAGCGGCCATAGTTAAGTGCATCCCTGGGGCCAGAGCGGGCGACATTAAGTCTTATTTGAAACTGCTGGCTAAGGATAAACGTAAATACAGTAAGATTGTTATTCACGTCGGCGGTAATGACTCCCGGTTACGCCAATCGGAGGTCACTAAGATTAATGTTGAGTCGGTGTGTACATATGCAAAAACAATGTCGGACACCGTAGTTTTCTCTGGACCCCTGCCAAATCTGACCAGTGATGACATGTATAGCCGCATGTCGTCATTCCGCCGCTGGTTGTCGAGGTGGTGTCCAGCAAACAATGTGGGCTTTGTAGATCATTGGCAGACTTTCTGGGGAAGACCTGGTCTGATCCGGAGAGACGGCATCCATCCCACTTGGGAAGGAGCAGCTCTCATTTCTAGAAATCTGGCCAAGTTTATTAGTGGACCAAATCCATGACAACCCAGAGTTGAGACCAGGAGGCAGAGTCGCAGTTTAACACACTTCTCTGCTCCTCCATTTCAGGAGTTACTTAGTGAAAATCCTATAGTGACGGTGTCTGCCCCCGACCATCGAAATTATTTAAATCAAAGGTAAACAGAAGAGGAGCTGTGCATAAAAACCTCATAAAACTTAAAACCACAAGAGCAATAGTGCAGATGAATAGGAGAGTTAAATGTGGACTCTTAAACATCAGATCTCTCTCTTCTAAAGCTGTACTAGTAAATGAACTAATATCAGATTATGATATTGATTTATTTTGTCTTACTGAAACCTGGCTGGGTGATGGAGAATATGTTAGCCTAAATAAATCCACCCCTCCCAGTCATATTAATACTCACATTCCTCGAGGCACGGGCTGAGGAGGTGGAGTTGCAGCTATCTTCGACTCTAGCCTATTAATCAGCTCTAAACCTAAACTAAACTATAACTCATTTGAAAGCCTTGTTCTTAGTCTTTCGCACCCAAGCTGGAAATCACTGCAACCAATTCTTTTCGTTATAGTGTACCGAGCACCTGGTCCGCACTCTGAATTCTTATATGAATTTGCAGAGTTTTTGTCAACTTTAGTCCTTAAAACGGACAAAGTTATTATTGTAGGGGATTTTAATATTCATTTGGACGTTGAGAATGACAGCTTCAGTACTGCGTTTATCTCTCTCTTAGATTCCATTGGCTTCTCTCAGAGTTTTCATGAACCGACTCACTGTTTTACTGAGCAGATACGGGCGTCTTTAAATAAAGGTCAGGTTACTGGAGTCATATACATAGACTTCGAAAAGCTTTCGATACAGTTAACCATCAAATTTTGTTAAATAAACTTCTTTCTTTTTATTTGTCCTCCTCTGCAATAGATATGTTTAAATCTTATTTAAGTGACAGATCTCAGACTGTAAGAATCGGCTCAGTAACATCACAGTCACGAGTGTGTTCTATGGGAGTTCCACAGGGCAGCATCTTAGGTCCTTTACTTTTCCTTATGTACATTAATAATCTTCCTATCTTCCGTTTCTAGTACTTTGTTATATGCTGATGACACTGTCATTTTTTGTCTGGCTCAGATATTGATACAATTAATTACAAACTTAACTCAGACCTACAGCATTTACATGATTGGCTCCAGGATAACCATTTAACACTTAATACTAAGAAAACAGAATGTATGTATTTTTATTCATCTAGGAAACAACTGTCTATATCAAATTTCATCACCTTTTCTAATCAAAAACTTTCAATTGTATCCACGTATAAGTATCTGGGAGTCTCTCTTGACTCACATCTTACTTAACGTGACCATGTCCAAATTTTAACCAGAAAGTTAAACCAAAAGTTATTTGTCTATAGTAAAATTAGACCATATTTACTGCATTCTGTTTCTAAAACATATCTTCATGCCATTATATTGTCCACTCTGTCATATTGTTTACCTATTTGGTCACTCACAACAAATGAGATCCTTGAACCTGTAGCAAGACTCTATAATAGAGCCTATAAGATTCACAACAGGCTTCCAGGCTGGACTCACCACCTTTCCATTACTCATCTTTGAGTAATGCCTTGACATTTCAGAACTATAGAATAAGTCATGGTTTGAACCTTTATCAGATCTTAAATGGACACACTACTGCAGGATTGACTGCGCTGGCTCCAAAACTCAGCTCAAGGCCCGAACGCACTACGAGATTTGTTGCAAATGGACTTCTCCCTATACCAGCTTTTAGAAACTGCTATGGACAGAAATCTTTCTTTAATTTGCTCACTAGAGCCTGGAATGAGACTCACAGCACATCAGATCTATAACATCAATAAGACTATTTAAACAAACTTTTGCTCGCCATCTGATGGACAGGTATATCTGTGAACACTGAGATAGCTTTATGGCCTCCTGCCGAAGCTTGTTTTACTATCGTAGTTTGTGTGCTTGTTGCTGTGTGTTTGTTATTGTATGGTCTTGGAGTTTTGTTGTGTTTGAGGTATTCATGTTCTGCAGAACAGGAACCTGCTGAAAATCAGTTCTATACTGAGTCAGGCCCTATTGCTCTTAATCTTTTCCTGTTTAAATAAATAAAAAAAACAAAAAAAAAACCACACCCTCGACCTTGTTTTGGTGTACGGTATTGAAATTGAACGTTTAGTGGTGTTCCCACAGAATCCCTCTTTATCCGACCACTGTTTGATAACTTTTGAGTTTGTATTGCTGATCTACACGCCATTGGGCAAAAATTTCTATACAAGATGTCTGTCTCATAGT